CAGTATCAAAGCCACCTGACGTCATTCGGTAGTTTAGCATATAGAGAAATGTGCCAGAGGTCTTGCAAGAGAAAAGGGTAGACCGGAATTATGATGGAAGAAGCGAATATGGGGAGCAAAATAAAAACAATGATCATATATATAGAGATAGATAGATAGATGTGTGTGTATATATGGGAGTAGCTAAAAGCCTATAATGCATAATTACAAATGGTGAAGGATAAGGTTTGGATAGCGCAGAGGGATAAATTGTTATCGAAGGAAGTAAGTTGGAATGTTTGTTTATACTTACTATAAAAGTGACCATAGGCTAATTTAATTGTTTTTCTTCGTTTAAGGTAAGCGCACGAAGTAAACAGATTGCCTGGGCGAAAAATGCAATTTACATGTCTTCGAAGAGTAAGGAAAGTATTGATTTAAATTCAAGTGCAAGAGTAACAGAAATGAAATAAGTTAAGAGTTAATAAGATCAAATTTGAGCGTTCTAGCTAATTGGATAATGCATCCAAAAGATAATTTAAAAGGAGAATAGTAACCTGCACGACGAAAATGTGCAGAAGGGCAATTGATAGGCCACACTGCGACTCAAATAAAGAAAGACAAACAGGCTAGATGACATATGTCAATTTCAGGGGAAGATAGCTGACCATGCTTGAAGCACAATACAAATCGTAAACCAACTGTTAGCAAATGTACTCAAAATAAAGAGGCAAAGCATAATATCGTAGAGTCTAGGTGCGTGCGAGAGTTGTTATGCGCCGTCGCTTGGTAACTGTACATAAAGAACCATCAGCGGTATCTAGTGTTGGTCTGGCAGTGGTGGCTAGAGTCTCAGTAACCCCAGTTGATCCCGCCAGTGTCGTCAAAGGAGTTGAGGAGTGAGATTCTGGAAGGATGCCCATCTCAGATAGTCGCATCTCAAGATGTCGCTGCAGCCCGAGAGCACATTCATGCAAACGACTACCGGGTCGATTGGAAACAACCCAGTGGCCTATAAGCATTCTGGTGACGATTCGCGAGAATGTTAGGAAGGATAAGAGGAAAATATGCATGGTATAGATAGGCTTAAAATTGCATAATAAGTTAAGTAACTTTCTTAGTTATATAGTAAGAATAATCCTGCAAGAGGTTTATGCAATTAAATTTTTATATCATTTTATTATTTTTATCAGTCTGAGAAGTCAGAGGTATCCTTTCGACAAAACCAAAAAAACTAGGTGAAACTATTTATCCTGAATCAAAGTCCAAGATAAGGGAACTCACGTACGAGCCTAAAAGCAAGATACAGTGAAAAGAAATCGGAGAAATATCTCCACTACACGAAAGCAAAGCGATGTAGAAGCCTCTGCTAAGGCCGAGAAAATTATTCAGAAAACCTAGTACTTGTATGTAGTATTGTGTGTGACTATTGTAATCAGAGTTATTTACTATTCTAGACTATTGCTATATTCTGGGTGAGTCTGTAAGGAACCCAGGTCAATAATTACTAGTTACAAACCCATATTGAACTTTTAAGTGTCTTATGGAAGGATTTAAAATGAGTGAATTTGGGCAGAAAAGACAGGTATGTAGAAAATTGGATTTCGAAGAATCCCTTACGGATCCTTTCAACTCGCCTCTTCAAACGAAATAAAAGGTACTCCAGCAGAAAGAATAGGGCCACCATCACCACAGCGCACAAGAGTTAAAAGTGCTAAAAGATACTGATGACTCGTGATAGGTGTACAAGCAACATCCAAATAAATTTGAGAAAGAACCATTTCTTTCGCATGTTTACCAATTAGTTCTGGTCTATCCAGAACAAAGTCGAGAGAAGATTTGTTATTCCATATTATTTCATAGCGTCTAAAGTTCTCAGTGAAATGAGGTGATGGCTAAACCGAAAATAAATTGAAACTGCATTTAACTATGGGTGAGATGCCCATTTTTATGAAATTTGGAAAGTGAAATCCCCTTTAAGAGATATTTCTTTTCCTTATTGCATCATAATAATACCAGTCATTAGTGCATAGAACACAAACCCTTTTAGTAAAAGATCCATTGATGGCGACTAAGTCACTATTATAGCATAATAAATTATTTCGGCCAAAATAAAGCGTAATAAATAAATAGCAAGCATTGTAAGCAAAATCCTACTCAAGTATAAATATACGAACTTAATCTAATACAAGTAGCTTGTTACTTTTCATATTCATCGAGTTAGAAACGGCTCAAAATGGAGAAAGTTCGACATAAAAGTAAGTGTACGAACTAAGATGAGCGTCAACTTTAGATGTGTATGATCATATTCAGTTTTGTTACCAGAATAAAAGCATATGCTTAGTTTTCCTAACTATTTAGAAAAACT